CTAGGGTTGCCAGTTGCTTTGCTCTAGGTCATTTGTGATGGCTCTCTGTGGTGGTTATCTTGCTCACTGAACTTGCTGCATACATGCTCCTGTGGGTGCTATTAGCTATCTAAGTGTGTTTGTAATTTAACTTGGGTGTTGTTGGTTATCTAAGTGTGTGTGTAATTTAACTTATGCTAGGGTTCTGGGCTGTTAATTTAACTTGGCTGCTCTCTATATTTGTGGCACTCTAATTGGCTTAGCTATTGGATTTTCTAACTAGTTTTAGTTGCTCAAATGCATAGGTACACCTGTGCATTTGTGGTGGCTTTAACTGGGTAAAATCCAATTGGTCTTGCTCATTTGGACAGTGCAAATGATCTGGTCTTGCACTACTGGCTATTCTGTTTTTGTTGCTGCTGCTGTTTTTCGACCTATAAGGGCTGAATTCGTCCTACCATGCTGCTAGACATTACTAATGTTTGATTAAATAAGCGTGGGAAACATTTAGATGTTAACTTCTTTTCTTTCTACCATGCTGCTAGACATTACTAATGGCATGTTCAAGCTTCTTGGCAGCATGTTAATAAATAATATGACATCTGATTGAATAACTTTAAATGCATGCAAGATTGGATAAGCATGGGGGGAAGCAGCCACCGCCGCTCTGCCTCACCGAAGTATGAGTTGGATGCTTTCGAGTTCTTCAGTATCATACTTTCTTCTTCAGTATCAGCCACGAGGCAGGTATATAAAACAAGAGATCTCCCCTTCACCCATCTCATTATGATAACTCTGTTGTTTGCTACATCACTTTTTGTCCCAAATTGCAGAGGCTGCCTGACACTTTTATGAAGATGCTGGGTGAAGATCCGCCAGATAATGTGAAGCTCCGACAGGCCGGCAACGGGGTTCGCAGGCTGTGGGACGTGGAGTTGGTGATCGAGGAGGGCCACATGTACCTGTGTAGTGGCTGGGAGAAGTTCTACAGTGCCTACAACCTGCGGACCAGGTACTTTCTTCTCTTCAGGTACGACGATGACGCCACAATGCTCATCGTGAAGGTTTTCAACGCGACTATGTGTCACATGCGCTACGCTGACGAAGATGCCAGTGTGTTCTACCTCTTCTTATTCCTCTACATTTGGCTTTGTCTCACATCAATTGTTAACGGTCATTGTTGCATTTGGACAGGCAATGGGAGCAGCAGCAGCGACACTGGCTACAGCCAAAGCAGCAGCGATTATGACTGTAGCAAAAGCAACAGCGATTCTGGCTTTAGCGAAAGCAGCAGCGATTCTGACAACAAGAAGGATGATCCGGACTGGAGTGGGGGAGAAGAGGAGCAGAGTGGGGATGAGGAGCTGCAGGATGACGATGGGCATCAGGCTGAGGATGACCTAGCGCTGGTGGTGGCTGACCAAGGGCAAGAGATGGTGGTGGCTGACCATGGGCAAGAGATGGTGGTGGCTGACCATGGGCAAGAGATGGTGGTGGCTGAGGATGACCTAGCGATGGTCGTGCCCGTCCTGCCTGAAGGTGGCCTCACGATGGTGGTGGTGCCTGACAATGACCACGCATCGGTGGTGGCGTCGGCGATCCCACAGCTGGGCGGCATGACCACGCCAATTGTGGTAGAAGACTACATCCCACAGCTGCCTCCACCGCCTCGCCGCTCTTGGCGCATCAGGCTGAGGAAGGAGAAGGAGAAGAACAATGAGAACTGAACTATGTCAGGTATGTCAGATCTCCAAAATGATATATATATATATACACTTAGTAATCCATGTTATCTCTAATATGCTTAGTTTCCTATAGGTTAGCTCCAAAATAACTTATGTTAGCACAAAATGATCAAGTTTACATAATAAGCTTATAGTCTTCTTCTTATTCTTTTTTTTTTCCAAAATGACATAGGTTAGCTTCATTTTACCTAAATTGGCTCTAATATGCTAATTTAGAGCTTATATGCTTAGTTTCCTATAGGTTAGCTTCAAAATTAATTATGTTAGCACAAAATGATCAAGTTTACATAATAAGCTTATAGTCTTCTTCTTATTCTTCTTATTCTTCTTCTTATTCTTCTTCTAGTGTTCTTCTTCTTCTAGTATTCTTCTTCTTCTTCTTCTTCTTCTTCTTCTTCTTCTTCTTGTTTATCATTTTACAGATTTGATTTAATTCACGGAAGCTTGCATGGATGGAGTGCTTCTTTTCCATTTGTGTTTTTATTTTGTATCAATGTGAAACTTTTGTGAATTGATGGATAACGGTGTTGAATGAACAATGTGAAACTTTTGTAATATGTAACGATGAAATTATGTGTTGGCTATGTATGTATATATGATGAAACTTGTGTGTTGGATATGATTGTTATATGGATGCTTGTTGTATATATATATATATATATATATATATATATATATATATGTTGGATATCTCATATGTGAAATAGTGATCTGAGATTAAGAAAAAACGTTTTTTTTAATTGTTACTAATGGCGCACTTCCATGTGGTGCGCCATTACTAAAATATACTGGTGGCGTGGTACTAATGGCGCATCTGTAGTGCGCCATTAGTAGTCAAAACAGGTGCGCCATTAGTAGGCCTTTTCCTAATAGTATATTCATTGTCCCCATACACACAATTCAAGTTGATATCTTGAAGTTAAAGCTAGAAAAAAATAGCTTGATTTAAAACTGTACACATTTATGTACTCACAATAGTTTGAGCAAATATCATAAAACAACAACTATGGGTATTAGGGTTTCACAAAAACACAATGGAAGGCAATTTCATTACATAAAATCCAACTATTGGGTTTTCAATGGACCAAAATCTTCCACCGCGTTTACGACAACTTGGACATACCAGTGACGCAACCTGTGGTAGTGAGGCGGTTCACTCCGGTCTATTTTCCCTTTCGACTGGACCTAGACTAAGACCTAACCGGACTCCACTTGAGGAAGCATGCAAATTATTTGTGTCAAAACCACACTATAAACATCCTAATCGATAAGATTTTGGTCCTGTGGCATAACAAGACCAGAAGCTGTACAAGACCGACAAGACAAATAAGGATCTATCGTGGAAGGACGAAACATATGCATTTATATTCTCCTAGAGTCACACACGAGTAAAGCACCTGGCATTACTGAATTATCATCATGCATTATGAACGAAAACATCAACCATGGAAGGTACGCAAAATACATGGCACACGATCGCCCTATTAAATAAAGCAGAGATAGTAAACATGCTCCCGTACTTCTCCCTCGTATGTCTGGGCCAGACAGTTTGAGCCGAAAAGACCATCCAAAAGGCTTCCCATTTCGGCCTGGACCCAAATCTACCACGACGTTTAGACAACTCGGTCCCACCACCGGGGCAACCCTGGCAGTGAGGCAGCCCACTTCGGTTTATTTTCTCCTCGGACTAGCCCTATCCTAGAACCGGACTGGATCTGGTTACAGAAGAATCAGAACTAACCAGTTCACATCGTTTTGACCTTGACCCTAGCTCCACATATTTGTTTCTCATGCTTAAAGCACACTCATCTAGGAGTAGAGGATGGAAGCAGCAGAGTGGAAGTTAGGGCGACCACGCGGGTGGTCGATGCCCATGATGAAGATGAAATTGGATGGACAGTGTCTCGTCTTCGTCTAGGTCTAGTCTAAGAGGAAGCTAAACCATGAGCTGCCTCACAATCATCTGTTGCTCGATTTATTATGTGTCTGGAATGCCGAAAACACCGTTTAGGTTTCGTGCCATAACAAGACTAGAAGCTAACCGGAATGAAAGGAAAGGGATCACGCATATGAAGATGTTGGATTATTGTTTTTTTAGAAACACGGTACAAACATAATAAGCATTAACATACGCGTGCACGCATTCGCCCATATGAAAACACACACGACATCTTAATCCTATGAACCACCTTTCAAGAGCCCGAGCCGATGATCATTGAGTAGGCCATCAAATTATTTTTATGGCAACATTTAAGAGCTTTATTCAACGAAAGCATTTCTGGGGGCAGTCCACGAGGAGGCTGCTGATCATCTAGCCAGCTTTCGGTAACCACCAACACAGAAGCACGCTTAGCACAAAGACGAGCCGGTAATTTTGCTCTCATCATTGACTAGGCCATCATCGATGAATGGCGCGCGCGCTGCTTACCTGGCTCGCAATCGTTCTCATACGAAACGAGCGAGCGCGGTAAAAAGACCGCTCGATCCTACGCCACCATGCACAAACCAGATCCCAGAAACAAATATCACGGCTAAACGCTGGCGGCCCCACCCTGCAGAGGGAGAGAGGAGCGCTGGCTGCTCTGGCTCTCTGGCTGCACTGCATCGGCCCGACTGGATCGAGAGGGGAAAAAAAAGCCGAGAGACATCGCATCGGCGGAACGGAACCCCGTCTTCCTTCCTTGTCTCCTCGCCATCCCGAACCGAAATAGGAGGACCACTTCCCCTCCCCTTCCTCCCGCCCCGGCCGATTCCCCACTCCCCCCCGCCGCGCGCCCAGCTCGCCGCCGGCGCCGCCCCGGAGCGCGGCCCCCGCCGCGCCGCGGGCGCCAGATCTGAGCGCCCGACCCCCCATGCCTCCTCCCCCGCGCCAGATCCGCCTCGCCTAGCCCAGCC